ATCGATATTTGACGATATGACCAAATGAATGATGATGTTATTTGTACAATACAATAACACTTAAAATTAGTTATATGAGAGTATCCTACAATCTGATGTCATTAAATTTATAATAGTAATTTTTATAATTAAATAAAAATATTATAAATGCCAAAATTATAATTAGTATCTGTACTTAAAATATTTAAACACATAAATTATACGAATTTTCAGATTTCCTAGTGACCCTTCTCGGAAAAGAAAGTGGGTAGAAGCAGTTCGTAGCGATGAAACCTGGATTCCGACGAAACACAGCGCCATATGCTGTGTACATTTCGATACTACCTGTTTTAATACTAATGCAAAGAAACACAAAATGACACCAATGAAGGCAGTCTCATTGCCCATAAAGACAAGGGAAAACTGATACTTCCCTCAAGTGATACCATAGCTATTTGTCAGCACTGCGAACTCGAACTTACGAAGGGTGTTCAGAATAAAAGATAATAAAAGATTACACAACAGACTTTCTCCTGCCGAAAATAACAGAAACATTGCTGCAACTTCCGTTGTACGAAGACATTCATTTCCATAAATTTGAAAACGACGACGTGAATCACGTCAAAAATTAACGAAAGCCGTTGCTGAAAAGTATATAAATATTAGAATTGCTTATATAAGAAAACAAGCGAACAAACAAATTCTAAGAAACACATTTTAAGAAAGATGATACATAATAAAAGTCAGTAAACCTATTTAAATAATTTAAACTTAACAAAAAATTTGACGTTTATCATAACTAATTGAACAAAACGTCCACAACAATGTCCTGCTTCTTTTATTTTAATTAAAATTTAAATACCGGAAGCTTACCTCACCTTCGTTATCTCTTTATTTCCTTTGTCTTACAGCTACGATACGACATTTCTTACTTAGTCGTTCATCGATATATTTTATCGACTACGTTCAAGCACTAGAAATAGAGAGAACTTCTACGAATTTCGTATCTGTGTTTAACGTAATAAAATCATTGTGTGCGTTATTCTCCACTTGGTTGAAGGAGTTTTCATACATTTGTGTTTTAATGCCGGGTCCAGTGGTTGATTCGTTCAAGGCTTGCCTATATTACAAGCCATACCACAGAATAAATAATAGTACTACGTACAGAAGTTGCACTCCTTTGATGTCAACTGCTTGCTGACATTTAATAGCCTACATAATTATTATTAATCAGATAAATCGCGCACTCAAGCTAAATAAAACATTATCGCTGCGCGTTAGTGTCCATATTACTTTGCATCTTTTCCGCTTCCTAAGTCACGGCGGACTTTCCGTGGTTATTAAGGGATGTCAATAGAAAGTAAAAAAATACATTGCGAAATGTTAATTATGTTACTTAGGTGAAATACCTATTCTGACTATGATCGATTGACGATACTTTCGCCCCTATGTGAGTTCTGCGATGCCTAACGCATGCAAATTGCAAGGTCATTCGTCGGGAATTGCAACGCTTGGTTCGGAAAAAATAGGTGGATAGTGTAAACAACAAATAAACCTGAAATACGATTCCTTACAGAAATGTGATCTATTCTACTTACTTAAAAATCTTCTTAGTATACAAAGTTTTAATTTCAGTATTTTGTGTTATTATAACTTAAAATATTTTAATTACAAAATACAAGTATAGGTATGTATGTAAGTAAATACTTGGATAGTGAAGTAAATTTTAACTAATTTTTGTAATAAAGTACTTAGGTATTTCTTCTGTAGACCAAATTATTACTTAATTCTTTTTTGCTGTAAGTACCTATCTAACAAAAAAAAATTAAATAAATTCACCTTTCATAATTTCCTTCTAAAATTCTTCGGTAACTTAAAGAATGATATGAAACCTTTTGTTGGTCATTTCATTTAGTATCTATCCACGCAAAAGTTATAGTAGGAACGACGTTTTGCTATTATAATTTATCAAATAGGTAATATACATAATATATAATTTTTAAAATACATTAAAACTTTTACAACTATTTTTACCTAAAATTAAATATAATAAACACTAAACAAAAATTTCAATAAGTATTTACAAACGTAAACAGCGTTAAAAAACCTTAACATTGAATCGCCTCCAACGCTCTAGCCCTGACTGCGTTATTTCGCCCGGGTCGCGATTTTAGGTAATTATTTCACGTAGGTAGCAAGATGATAGAGGCCTGGCCATACAATGTTGCGATATAGTGGTTATGGCAGAATTACTACACGATGCACCTTAGTATTTTGCTTATGACCTCGACAGTATCTCCCAACGGAAAGGATTTTGAAATTAACATGGACAAGAGAGAAAGATTATGTGTAGGTGGGGCGGCCATTCACTAGATATAGAGGCAACCTCGTAAGACATGGATACAGCTGGCACCGGATCGTGTCTTGTGATATTCCGTGGAGGAGATATAACTTCATCAGTGGACACGGGAAGGGTTACTTTTCCCTGGTCCCATAAATCTCCGACTGTCCAACTATTGTGTCAATGTCCCGGACAGGGACGCTGTTAAAGAATCCTAGCAGTGCTATTCCCGGTTAACCACTCTAGCGGAACCGTCAGGTGCTTCTTGTTCATTAGACTCTAATTCTCTACTGAAAGTGAAAACTAGTTTTATTTAAATCAGAACTTTTTTCTAGGTGAAGCGATTTTGACGATTTTTTTTTTATTTGAAGACTGATATAAGTTATATCATATAATATAACCCATATAAATTTGAACTTGTTTTCCTGATTCTCATTTAGAAGTGGTACAACATGTATAGATTCATCTGACGATTGACAATCGGATTTCTATTACCATGCGTCAAAAAATAAAGAGCTTTTCTGGATATTTCATTGTTACAAATATGTGGAGATGTTACGGCCTTATAGCTACTAATGTGTTCCGGTTTTTATCATCACACGAAACACAGCAATAGTGTTATTGTGTAGATAAATATCCTCAAGCTGCGTGTTCCATCATGTAGGCTTGTAATCTCTTATTTCTTTTGTAGTCACGTTCCAGGAATGAAACGATGATGGTCTCTTGTGTAGGTGCGTGTTAATGAATGAACTAAACGATATATTTTATAGAATGGAATCGATTTTTTTATTAATACAGCATACACAAGAATGCTTATTGAAAGTCATTTAAGTTTTATCACATTTTTCAAACATTACTTTACAGTATAATATTTTATATAAGTTTGAATACCAGCGTAAAATAGCAGCTTAATGCTGCTGTGTTTCATATTATGGTGAGTGCAGAGATCCGGAGACCATTTTGTACCGGAAGCGAGGCATTCCATCTTAGTTCTTAGGGGTGACAGCGCAACTGCGTTTTGATTCTTAATCGAGGACAAATGTGGATGTCTATGGGCCACAGCATCCACTTACCATACTGTGAGCACGTTTGTCACCCTTATTCTATTAAAAAATAAAGTACCGATACTACGAACTAGTATGAAAATGATGTAGAAATAGAAATGGAAACTTTACCATTCAATAAAGGTTATAAATGATACCTAGGTACTTATTGAAAGTCACTCTTACTCTTGTTTAATTTGCCATTGGTTTGGAAAATACCTTTGTCCTGGCATATTTTATTTACTCTGTGCTCCTAGGAAGAACCAGCAAGGAACACAAGTAAATATGAAATAGCATGGAAGTGATCACCTCATTCCCAGGGGGGTATTATCATCCATAAATTCCTTAATATTATATAAACCTTTTTATACAATTTTTATTCAATAAAGTTTTAGATAATAGTATATAGTAACGCTGTAGCTATATTATGGTTTTAGCCAGTGGCGAAGCTAGAGCTCCAAGCTAGGGCAAGCACAAGATATAAATTGATAAAAATATAGATTGTTGTTTTTAGCAGTTTTATAAAAATACACCAATCTTGATCTGTCTCCACGCTTCAGTTTCATATTCAGTGCTGTCAAGGACGTGTTTAACAAAGCACACAGAAGGCATACCACTGCTAGATAGATTGTATTACATATCAGCAATTGCATAGCTTCGGTGGCTTTGAAGAAAGCCGTTTGGGTTTGTTTAAGCGAAAGAAAAAAAATATTTACATCCAATACAATACATGAACAAAAGTAAAACACGAACAAAGTACAAACAAACTATGTACAAAATTAAAAAAAAAAAACAAACAAATTATTTACATTCTAATGGATAAGAGATAAGATAAGATAAGTAGAATCGTCTCGCTTCCTTATGGAAAGATTTAATTACGTCCACGTAAACAATTTGGTGAACGTTTTAATTGTACCAATAACTGTTTTTAATTACGATAATTGATAAGTCTTAAATACACTCTTAACCTTGTGTATTATCACAACAAAGTTTAAAAATTTCCTCTCCGATTATCACTTTAATTCATCACAAGGAACACTATTATCCTCCATTTTCATTTAAACACATTTCATTAAAAATCTTTAAAAAACCATAAATTTTGAACTCGTAATATTAAATCGCTTAAGATAAGCACACAGAGTAAATAAACATTGTAAACGTGAAATGAACTTGCAAACGTATTGCCCGCGCGCCTCCGCTTAAATCTTAAATTTATTCCCAAAAGCCTGGCTTTAAATCTCTGTACTATTATTGATTGATTCAGGTTTAATAAGGCAAGTCCGGCTTTTCGGCTTTAATGGAAGCGTCGCCACTGGTTTTAGCACGAATGGGTCGGCTCAACCGGGCCAGGACTACGCTCTTACAGAATACCAGCATAAAATATATCAGGTCAACGCTCCTGTGTTTCATATAGCGTGTGTAGAAAACCGGATACCCTTTTGAGTGGATTTTTTTTATTTTTTTTACCTGACAATTTGGTTTTTAACCATGGATAGATGTAGGCCTTCATCACCACTTAGGTACCAATTTAGGATTGTGGTCAAAAGCACTATTTTATAATTAGTAAATTAAGGTGATCTGTGTGCTCGATTGTCACCCTTATTCTTTAAAAAAAAGTAATAACAGAATGAACGCAGGTCTGGGCGCGGCGCAGCTGGCGCTGGCCTCCAGCATGGAGCAGTTCGAGTTCGCGTGCATCGGCGCCTCCATGACGGAGGACGAGCGCGCCATCGGGCGCTCGCTGCAGCACTTCGCGCACCTCATCCGCACCGTGGAGGACGAGCGCGAGCGCATGGTGAGTGCACGTACCCGCCATCGACTCGTGACTACATTTTAAATAAAACTAGTTTTTACGGATTTTATCGCGTATATTAACTTATTTTATATTCCCGACTTTCCGAGTACGTTACAGCACCAATCGCTTTGACAAGTCCCTACTGCGGGGAGACTTTGTGAGAAGTAGTGCAAAAACTCCACAACTAGATTATTTTTCTCCCAACTGTTACAATATTAACCTTATAAAATAAATACGTTAGTAATAAAAGTGTAAGGAAGCTCTTTATGACCACGAATGATTATCTTTTAAATAGTCATCTAAATTCCTTATAGGTGCTTTCTACCTACGCGTTGCATTTGTGCAAAGGCAAACCCGTAATATTTCAGGGAATCTTGTTATAATTTGTTATACATCTACCAAAAAATGAATCTGTTCTTTGGAACAGCAAGTTTAGATTTATTGCGCATATAAATTATGGGTATCACTCATTGTAACAAGGTTTATGAAATAGTTTCTCACATAAATAGATATTGTCCAAAATACATTGTGAGTTAGGATGTTTATTTCTTTAAAAATTAGAAATACAGTTTAAATACCTACTCCACATTGTTAAAATTTCAATACAGACCATATTTAATTACATTAATTTTCACATTGTGCAATTAGGATTTTAAAATCGTCTGAATACCGGCCTAAGTCTCTTTGTCGCTTCAATATTTTAAAAAAATAAACCTATCGATATTCGTCGTAATATCGAGTTCTAAACGAGTTCTCACCAAGTAAGGCCAACACTCACTCCTAGTCAACTTTTGCATTCAGTCCTTTTTTTTTAAATTAAAGTAAAGGTGAGGAACAAAAACACCGTCAACCTAAGGGTTTATATAGGGTCCGCCATCTAACTTTTTTTTCAACTAGTGCTTATTTCGTGAATGGCAACACTTAGCTCATGTCTAATTTGACAGATAATTAGTTTTATCCTTCCGCTGAACGAATATGTTTGTGTATACGCTTGAACAACGCTGGGAAATATTGCGACATTACTTTGAAAATCATGGTAATGTTGCAGAATGTGTGCGAAAATTGCGTACGGATATTGGAAGAAATGAAGCACCGTCAGCTCCGTATGTTCGTTACCTTGTGAAAAAAGTGAAAGAAACTGGCATCCCCATCGATAAACCAACGCGTGAAAAGCCAAAAACAGTGCGTACACCCGAGAATATTGCTGCTGTGGCCGAAAGTGTGCGTAAAACGCCATCAACATCAGTTCACCGTCGTTCTCAACAATTGGACATTTCGGAGACATCATTGAGACGAATTTTGCGTAAAGACCTTGGTATGACGCTGTACAAAATCCAATTGGTTCAGGAGTTGAAGCCAACTGACCATCCAATGCGTTTTCGCTTCGCTAAGTGGGCCTGCGATCGACTTGCAGAAGATGCGGATTTTGCCAAAAAAATCATCTTTTCAGATGAAGCTCATTTCGAACTTGGCGGGTATGTAAACAAGCAGAATTGTCGCATTCGGGGCACAGAAAACCCGCACGCATTCATCGAAAAGCCGGTGCACCCAAAACGAGTCACTGTTTGGTGCGGATTTTGGTCCAGAGGCATAATTGGGCCATTTTTCTTCGAAAATGAGCAAGGTGTGGCCGTTACAGTCAATGGCGATCGTTATCGGGCCATGTTGAACGAATTTTTGTTCACAGAAATTGAAGAGGAGGATATTGGCAACATTTGGTTTCAACAGGACGGCGCAACGTGCCACACAGCCGACGCTACACTTGATGTTTTGCGCCCTGTTTTTGAAAATCGCATTATCAGCCGCAGAGCTGATGTCGTTTGGCCACCTCGGAGCTGCGATTTGACACCGTTGGACTATTATTTGTGGGGTGCCGTCAAAGATAAGTGTTACGCCGACAAGCCAGAGACAATTGACGCTTTAAAGGACAATATTCGTGAAGCCATTGGTGAAATACAGCTGCACACAATCGATAATGTACTCAAAAATTGGACCGATCGTGTAGGCTACTGCATGGCCAGCCGAGGCAGCCATTTGAATGAAATTATTTTCCATCATTAACCGGAAGGATTGTACTTTCAAATAAAAAAAGAAATTTGAAAAAATATTTAGTAGTTTTTTTAATAGCATTTAAAAAAAAAAGTTATTTGGCGGACCCAATAATAGCTGTGCGCTGTAGACACGTATACATTTTTTTCCATTAGGAATCAAAGTGCACATGTGTTGTCACCCTCAGGAGCACAGGTTTCCGATTTTAGTCACTCACTAAACGAAACTCAGTTACAACCATAATACTGTTACGCGCTCAAGTCGACGATACACTAGCGCCATCTAGTGTCAGGAACGAGAGCGAGGGGAGCATTGAGAAAATGACATCACAAATCACTCAACCGACAGCGCCACCCGAAGAACTAAGTTTCTGGAAAATCTACACTCGAATACTCGTTGCCTGGCGCGCATTTACTTGAATGTTCGGGACGCTTCTTTGCTAATTATATAAATAGGCGCTGCAAGATGCGATCGGGGCAGAGTTGAACTCGGCGACACAAGCGAAGCTTCGGAGCGGAATTAAGTGAATTAGTGTGTTTAATTATTAGTGTTTTTAGTTTTAATTTGTGTAAAGTAAATTAAAGTGTTAATTTAGGTAATTTTATCGGCAATTTTTATTGTCACGAACCTCAAGCTCGTAACAATTGGTGTCAGAAGTGGGATAAAATCATGCCGATTTTACCTAAGGAGGAAACGGAGGGTGTTCGTACCCGCAGTCAACGCCAGCATGAGACGGACCAGAGAAGATTTGGTGGTGCAACGCCGCAGACGTCGGAGGGCCAGCCGCCGGCAACGGAGGCCGGTTCGTCAGTAGCTCCTGCATCTGCAGCACCTGATTTAGGTGCCCTGATGGTGATGCTGCAGGAACATGTCCGTCGGTTGGAAGAGCAGCTGCGGGGCGGACAGGCAGAACAGGCCCGCCGACAGGAGGAACAGATGCTTCTCATGAAGGACCTTCACGCTACCTTCGGGAAAGAGATAAGGGAGGTGAAGGATAAGGTTGCTCAACATGAAAACCGCCTGTCGGAAGCTGAAACCCGAATTGACCAAGTGAATAATCGGGTTGACAACGTAATGGCTGACATGAGGAAATCACTTGACGAACTCAAACTTGGGGAGGGAACTACAGCTCCCGTAGTAGCTACTACACCTTCGCTACGTGGGTTCAAGGTGCCACCATTCGACGGGACTTCTTCCTGGTCAGCCTACAAAATCCAGTTCGAGGCTGTTATGAAGGCGAACGGCTGGAAAAAAATTCAGGCCATGACTGCTCTCACACTAGGCCTGCGCGACCAGGCCTTAACAGTTCTGGAAGCTCTCGGTGAGGAAGTGACTTATGAGCAACTCCTTGAGGCGTTGGAGGCGAGATATGGCGACGCTCACCTGGAACACGTCTTTCGTGCGCAGCTTAAAGATCGCGTGCAGCGCATCAACGAAAACCTGCAGCAGTGGGCTCTAGAGGTGGAGAAGCTGGTGCGAAAAGCATACCGGTCTGTACCTGCGCTCATTGAAGGTAACCTGGTGCAGACATTCATCGATGGCATCCGCGACCTTGAAGTCAGAGCTGCTGTGAGGCTGGGGCACCACGAGACGCTTAAGGACGCCTTGGCCCATGCACTGGAGGTGGAAGCCGTGCGGCAGGATCATCGTTCCCATCGCGTCAGGGAGGTTGCAGCCGCTACAGTCCGTGACCGCAGCAAAGGATACAGCCCTAGGTGCTATGGCTGTGGGGAAAAGGGCCATCTTCGATCCAGCTGCCCTAAACGAACCGTGGAAAGGAGAGTTGATCGATCTCGAGAGGGTAGTGCAGCTAACGGCACTGCCTGGCGGCGACAGGATCATCGTTCACCTCACGCTAGGGAGGTTACAGCAGTTACGGTTCGCGACCACAATAAAAGATACAGCCCTAGGTGCTATGGCTGTGGGGAAAGGGGCCATCTTCGTTCCAGCTGCCCTAAGCACACCCTAGGAAGGGAAGGTGAACGGTCTCAGAAAGGAAGTGCGGCTAACAGCACCGCCCAGCAGCAGCAGGAATACGACTTTACTATCAGACACTGCAGCGGGAAATCTCAAGGCAACGCAGATGCATTGACAAGAAGACCTTGTCCTGAAGATTGCAACCATTGTAGTAGGCAAGAGAGTAAGGAAGTGGTATCCGTGAGGATGCTCAGGACAGACCACCTCAGCAACGGGTGGAAGGACAGCCTACGACATGCACAGCAGGAAGATCCGGACATCAAGCCGATTCTGGGATGGATGAAGGCCCGTGCTACCAAGCCTAAGTGGAGGGACGTCTCAGCGATGAGTTCAACCACGAAAAGCTATTGGGCCCAATGGGATAGCTTGCTGATTCAGGATGGAGTCCTGTGCCGTAAATGGGACAATGGTCGAAGAGACAGCTGTCGTTTGCAAATGGTTGTCCCTAAAGCTAAAGTGCCGAATGTTCTACAGCTGTGCCATAATGGTCGTTCAAGAGTCCATATGGGAGTTAAACGAACTCTACTGAAGGTCCGAGAACAGTTTTACTGGGTCCATTATCGTGACGATGTCGAGGATTGGTGTCGTACATGTACAAGTTGTGCGGCCGTGCGGGGACCTCAGACACGTAGTAGAGGAGCACCGAAATTGTACAATGTTGGTGCACCACGGGATAGGACAGCCCTTGACATTGCGGAGCCGTTACAGAAAGGCGCAAGAGGGACTCCTAAGATCGTCCATGTGGATCGCTTGGCGCGTTATTATGGGGCCGATAATGCTCGGGACGAGCATGTCTTAGGACGGGGCAGTGTTACGCGCTCAAGTCGACGATACACTAGCGCCATCTAGTGTCAGGAACGAGAGCGAGGGGAGCATTGAGAAAATGACATCACAAATCACTCAACCGACAGCGCCACCCGAAGAACTAAGTTTCTGGAAAATCTACACTCGAATACTCGTTGCCTGGCGCGCAT